GCAGGCCTGTCTGCTCGCCTGCCCGCCTCCTCCCACAGCCACGGTGAGGCGGGGCCGCGGGTTCAGCTGCTGGTGTCAGCAGGCGACACTGACCTAGTTCTGTTTTGTTTTAAATATATTTTGATTGATGTCAGAGAGGAAGGGAGAGGGGGAGAGAGAGAGAACCATCAATGATGAGAGAGAATCATGGATGGGCTGCCTCCTGCACGCCCCACACTGGGGATCGAGCCTGCAACCTGGGCATGTGCCCTGACTGGGAATTGAACCATGACCCCCTGGTTCATAGTTTGATGCCCAACCACTGAGCCACGCAGGCCGGTCCTGGACAGATTTCCTTGAAAATCCTCATGCAATTGGTGTTTCGAGAAAGCAACGCTGTCCTCCTTGGTCAATGAGTGCCTGCTTGTCTAAGCAATTTAATACTTGATTGTGAATACCCTAATCTTACCCGATCTTTGGGTTTTTGTCAATAATTTATTGCCCCATGAAGATGACTCTTTTGTTATGTGAAATTAAAATGGATATCCAAGTCCTAGTGCACTGTTAACTTTTTTTTTGTTTTTTTTTCTGGAGGAAAATAGAAAAAAAATGTATCAGGTTAATTCATCTCATCTTTTTGTAGCAGGATGATTAATTGGACAGGACCATCTCACACAAAACCTCTCTAATAAAGCAACGCTTTACAATGGTGTCAATGCTTACTTTCTGATACCAGCCAATCACAAAACAATGTGTTTATCTATTCCTGACCCCTGGATTGAGGACCTTGAAAATAACATTACCAGTTATGTGGGGGAGAGCCAAAGTGGCCCACTCACACCACTGGAAGTATTTTCTCTGGAGATACTGGCTAAGTCAATTAGGCAAGAAAAATAAATGAAGGTGACAATCTGGAAAGGAGGAGATATATCCATATTGACGTAGCTGTAGGCTAGAAACCCCAGGAGAAACCAACAGAAAACTTTTTACACAATGAACACGCTGAGTATAACAAAAATCAACCGGTTTTAGCTCTGCAGACCGTAACCAGAAGATAAAATACAAGAAAACACCCCATCGGAAATAACACATAAAAAGCAGACAGCTAGGAATAAGATGACATGGAAAATGTGTATTGTCTCAGATGAGGAAAAGACACACGAGGTGTTTGGTGGGAAGTCACCATTAACTGTCCAATCTCTATAAATTCCTATAGAATAAAAGCCCAATATGCAAATCAACCAAACGGCGGAACGACCGGTCGCTATGATGCGCACTGACCACCAGGGGGAAGACGCTCAACGCAGGACTTGAACGTTTTGTTTACGACGGGATCCGTGGAGAAAGGACGTCCTCTGTCAGCTCCTGGCCAGGTCCTCAGGGTGGCTTCCTTCCACGGAAAGTTCCCCTGAAGCTGCTGCAGAGCCCCTCGCCGGGGGCGGGGTGCAGACGCGTCCCCGGGACGAGGGCTGGGAGGAAGGCAGTGGCGGGTCCAGATGGCACCAATTCGCTCTTTGAGAGGGGCATTTGCCGGGAATGTGCTCACAAGGGAGGAAAACTAAGGAGCCCCTGGGGACTTTAAACAATCTGGGGCCTCGGATGGGAAACGGAGGCGGTCACCGGAGAAGGAAGCTGGGGGCAGGGACAGGAGCAGGCAAGGGACAGCTAGACTCTCGGCTGGTAGAGCTCATCTACACCAGCTCCGCCCATAGCCCACTCGCACCTACTCCCGGCCAGTCTCATCCCCAGACAACCCACATCAGTGTGATTCAAAGTGACCATCACTCCTGATCCTTTACACCGGAATCTGACTGCCTTTACTATTATAACACGGGCTGGCCGGTGTGGCTCAGTGGTTGAGCGCTGACCTATGAACTAGGAAGTCACAGTTCGATTCCTGGTCGGGGCACAGGCCCTAGTGTGGGGCGTGCAGGAGGCAGCCGATCAGTGATTCTCTCTCATCATGGATGCTTCTATCTCTCTCTCCCTCTCCCTTCCTCTCTCTGAAATCAATAAAAAAAAATTTAAAAATCGCTAGGAATTTTCCATAGGATGGGGCTGAGGACAGAGTCCTTGACTAGAGACTGCCCGCCTATGGCGTGTGATTCATTGCTAATGGGAGGTTAGTCTTGCTCCCTGGGTCACTGGGGGTGCCCGGGGTAGGGCTCCTTGGGTTCACTGTGCTGTCCAGACCCCCAGCCCTTCGAACCAATCGAATGGAGCGAGCTCAGGGCAAGGACTGGGGGCACATTCCCCATCCGGGCGACTCACTGTCCTGGGCACATACATCCCTTTCTTTCCCCTTAAGGAGTCCGCCCGCCACCAGGGGTGCTGGTGAGGCCCTCGGGGATCGCGGGCCGCGAGCAGGTGTGACCCGATCAGGTGTCGCTCTGCACCTGCCCCCGCCCCTTCGGCCCCATATGCCCTTCCGTGCCCTCTTCAGCCTGCTCCTGGGGCTGGCTGATGCTCCGTGCTGTTCTCACGTGCCCTCTCGAGAGCCAGCCAGCCGTCTGTGCCAGGTGAGTCCTGGGGTGGACACACGGCCTGAAAGTGCATACGTGTGTGTGCGTGTGTGTGTAACTGTGAGTCCGTGTGTGTCTTTGGAAGGGGGCAAACCGAAGAGGAGGGTGTGAGGGGACTCCCGCTGGCCTGGTTTGCACAAAGCGTATCCTTGCATAATTGGCAGATTCCCAGCAAGCGCCGTTGGCGTCCGTCCTTGAGGAGGCGGGCCGGCCCCTGCGCCTGCACCTTCTGGGAAGTTCCATGTGGCACCTCCTGCCTCTAGTGCCGTCAGCGGCGTCCCCCAGCCTGTCCTGCCCCGCCTGGTGCCGAAATGCGGTCCCATCCTCAGCAGCCCTGCGGGGAAGGACTGGGGCTGCAATGGATTGTGGGAAAATCAGCAGGAGGAGGAGAGGGCCGGGTCTGATGGGCATGTCCAGGGAGACTCGATTCCCTTGGCCTGAGACCTCAGCTCCCTGTGTCCCCTCCCCCAGTCCCGCAGGCTAAGGTGCGTGTCCAAAATGCACAATTACTCAAAGCCACCAAGAAAGTGCTTAGAAAATGTTAAAGCTTTGGCCCTGGCCGGTGTGGCTGAGCGGATAGAGCGTCGGCCTGTGGACCGAAGGGTCCCGGGTTCGATTCCGGTCAAGGTCACCTGCCTCGGTTGCAGGCTCCTCCCCAGCCCCGGCCCTGGTCAGGTGCAGGAGGCAGCCCATCGATGTGTTTCTCTCACATCGATGTTTCTCTCCCCGTCTTGCCTCTCTCTTCCACTCTCTCTGAAAATCGGTGGGGAAATATCCTGGGGGGGAGGATTGCCAACAAGAAGAAAATGTTAAAGCTTTGTCTTCATGCTGTCTTGATTTTCCGAGGGGAACAATCGCTTGGTTTCAGCCGCATGAAATATCCGAGCGCCGTCCCGTGGCCACAGGATGAGATGGGACGGTCGAGCCGAGAGCAATATTGCGATTCTGATATCAGCGGCCGTGTGCCTGTGGCTTCAACCCCACCCCCACCCCCTTTGACCCCCAGGCCTCGCTTTCCTCCGGGGGAGTTTTCTGAAAGATTCCACGGGCGGAGGCATTGCTGGTCACGGTTCGGGGATTATCTGTCTGTCGGGCAGTCTTGCTGGTTTGCTGATTGGGGCGACTCAGGGGCGCAGTGAGCTGGGCTCCAAGGGACAGACAGCGCGTAGTCGCAGCCGTGCGGCGACCGGATGCGGTGGCCCGGGTGTCATGCGTCGCTAATTGAAAGATGCTCTTTTCAGGGAGCTGATACCGGGCTATCGAGGCTGGTTTTCAGCGGAGGCGAGGGGATTAGCGGGGCTCTGCAGCCCGATAACCTGTTATCTCAAAGGAATATGTCTGGCGGGCAGGACAGCGCCATGCTGTCCGGGTTTAATTTTTTCACACAAAGGGCGTTCTGCAAAGTCGTCTTTGTCACCAGGAGCCAGATCAGGGC